TTCCCTTCATTAATATGAAATGACCTTCTTTGTTTCTTCTAATTTTGGTTTGAAGTCTGCTTTATCAGATATGAGTATAGCTACTTTTGCCTGCTTTGGGAGTCCATTTTCTTGGAAGATCTTTTTTAACACTTTTACCCTAAGCCAATATTTGCCTTTGTCAGTAAGATATGTTTCTGGTAGGCAACAAATTGTCAGGTTTATGCCTTTTGATTGGAGATTTGAGACCATTAACATTGTGGGGGGTTTTTGTTGGTGGTGGTATTTTTTTATTTGTTTGCAATACTGGGGTTTGCTCAAGGGCCTACACCTTGAGCCACTCCACCAGTCCTTTTTTGTGATGGGTTTTTTCAAAATAGGGTCTCACGAATTAACTGCCCAGGCTGGTTTTGAACCCCAGTCCTCCTGATCGCTGCCTCCTGCGTAGCTAGATGCCTGGTGAGGCGATTAACATTTTTTAATTAATATTGAAAGGTATGTAATATTTTCTGTCATTTTGTTGTTTTGTGGTGTTTACTGTTTTCTTATTCCTAATCTTCCAATCTACTCACCTAGAAGGGTTTATTCTTGCCTGTAATTTCCTGGTTACTTTTCTCTACTTCTTCTGTGCATAAAAACCCTTTAAGTGCCTTATACATTGTTGGTTTGGTGGTCATGGATTCCTTTAATTTTTATTTATTGTGGAAGGTTTTATTTTTCCTTCCATTAAAAAGGATAATTTTTCTGGGTATGTTAATCTAGATTGACAGTTGTTTTCTTTCAGGGTTTAGAATATATTATTCTATGCTTTCCTGTACTTAGAGTTTGTGTTGAGAAACTGTTATTCTTTATTTGCCTTTATTTGTTTTGTTTTGTTTTTAGTGGGACAGGGGTTTGTAGTCAACTGCTCTACCACTGAGCTATACCCCTCAGAAAGGGGTTTGAACTCAGGGTTTGCCTTTATGTGTGACTTCTCACTTCTCTCTTGCAGATTTCAGTAGTCTTTCTTTATTCTGTATATTTAATATTTTAATTATAATATATCAGGGGTGTTTCTCTTCTGTTCTTGCCTGCTTGATGTTCTGAAAGCTTCCTGTACCAGGATGTCCCTCTCTTTCTTGACATCAGGGATACTTTCTGCTATTATTTTATTTAAATAGATTACTTATGCCTTCATTTGTATTTCTCCTTCTTCTATACCCACAGTTAATAAGTTTAGCCGTTTGATTGTGTCCCAGAGGTCTTGCATTTCCATTTGTATTTTCTTAGTGTTTTTTTTTTCAATGTCGTTGATTCATCTAGTTCCTCTGCTCTATTTTCAATCCATGAGATTCTATTTTCAACTTGTTCAGTTAGCTAAGCTCTCAACTGAGGTTTTATTGGGGTTATTGAGCTCTTCATTTCCAAGATTTTAATTTGATTTTAAGATTTCTTTGTCTTTATTGAATTCCTCCTTCATATCCTGTATTGTCTTTGGTATTTCATTCAAGTGTTTGCTTAAATTTTCCTTGAGTTCAATTAATTGTTTCTTGTATACTCTTTGAATTCATTCAGCTGCTCTTATGTCTCCTCTTTGATTTCATTGGTCATTCTTGTCATTGTTTCTTTGAATTCACTGTTTGAAAATTCTTCCTCTTTACTATTTTTTAAGTTCTTTATTGTGGAGTTGTTGGGTTTTGAAAGAGAACTGTTGTCTCGTTGCTTCATTTTTCTACATTATGCATCAGGGATCTTTGTTGGTTGGAGGGTGCAATCTCCTGTGTCCCTTTAGTTGGGGGATTTCTAAGACTATTTAGTACTGGGTAGTAGCTGAGTCATGGTATATATTTTCTTGTCACTAGGTGGGGTGGTAGCTCAGTAATCAAACATTTGGCTTCAGTTCTCAGAATACTAGGTGCTGCCCCCTACTCCACACAGGGAGAGGAAACTTTGTTGCTAAAGCCATCTCAGTTGATAAACCTCAATCTTGTGATTACAGCAGTCCCTGAAGTAGACCAATCAGCTATTGCTCCAGGATCTTTAGAGGTATATAAGAGCAAAGATGAATCTTTGTGACCTAGGAAGTATCGTGGTAATGGGAAGGAGATAGGGAAGATAAGGCTAATGAATAATATTGGTATATGGTTTTACAAGGCTAAAAGGTGTGGTGGCTAGGCTTAATAGACATAGTTAACAAAAAGTGAAGTGGGACAGGTAAAAGAGATCTAATTAATGCTGTGTTGAGGAAGAGAAATGGAGAAAATTGAACAAATAAACAAAATCAAAACAAGATGATTTGATAATCTATTTACCAGCTAAAAGTACAGGTAACAAAGGAGGATGATGAGTGGAGAAACAGAAGAAAATATGGCCTAGAGAGCAGTTCTAGTTGCAGACTAGACAATAGGAAAGGAAAGGATAAAATGGTTTAAGATTGAATACTGAAAAGCACACTGTATGGTTTACACACATGCTGACTACAGAGAAAAGGAAGGGAGGGGGAAGCAGAACTAAGGAGAAAATGGGAGCAAGAAAGTACAAAATTACCCAACTCAGATGTACAGAAAAAATACAAAAAGAATAAAAATTAAACACCCACAAAAACAAATTAGCATGTTTAAAAATGCTCTTCTCAGCTGGTGTTTTTCCCCCCTCAGTGACCAAGTTTTTCAGTATGGTAGAAGGCAGTCTAATCAGACTCTGGAATGGTATCTGTACACAACTTTAAGCTCCTTTGCAGGGTGGAGAGGACTTGGAAATGTGAATAAAATCTCCAGTGAGGCTTTGTCAGATGTCTGCTCCTGTGTGCCTCCATTACTTCATCTGTAGAATGGTTTATAATAGAAAACCCTAACTCACAGGGTAATGAGGATTAAATAGTTGATATTTGTAAAGTGCTTGGAATAATATTTGACACAATAAATACAATAAAGTGTTACCTATTGTTACTTAATATCTTGGGGTTCAATATCTTGGGAGCCCTTCCTCAACTCCTTGTTCTAAAAAGCATTTCTCCTAATACTTTCATTGTTAATTTCTGTGTATTCAGGTCTTTAATTCAATTGAATTTTGTTTAATGTATGAGATTAAGATCTAACTTTTTCCTTCAATGAACAGCCAGTTGTCCTATTCATTAACCCTATCTGGTAAATATGCCATTCTCTCTCCACTGATTTGACATGCTACCAAGTGGGTCTGTATCTGGATTTTCCTGTTTTGTTTCATTGCTTCATGTGCCATTATTGTGCCAATAACACAGATTAAATTATTGTAACATTTATTTGGTAAGGCAAGTGCCTGCTTGACTTTTTTTTTTTTTTCAGAATTTTCCTAGCTATATTTAAAAGTTGATTCTTCTGTTTATTTTTATTTTTAAATTTTACTTATTTTATTTATTTATTATTTATTGGTGGTACTGGGGTTTGAACTCCACATTGCCCAGAATTATATTCCAAAAAGAGATCTCATAGTCGGTGCCAGTGGCTCATGCCTATAATTCTAGATACTTGGGAGGCTGAGATGGAAAGGATTGCAGTTGGAGGCCCACCTGGGGAAATAGTTCTCAAGACCCACCATCTCCATCTCCAAATGAACCAGAGCAAAATGGACTGGGTGTGTGGCTCAAGCAGTAGAGCACCTGTTTTGCAAGTGGGAAGCCCTTGCAAAGGGTTCTGGAAGTCCCACCAGAAAGAGCGATCTCATCATGCCAGGTGTGGTGGCACACACCTGTAGTCCCAGTAACTCAGGAGACGCTGGCAGGAGGATCAGGAGTTGGAGGCCAGCCTGGTCTACATAGCAAGACTGTCTTAACAAAACAAAACGAGGGCTGGGGTCAGAGCTCAAGTGGTAGAGCGACTGCCTAGCAAGAGTTCCAACCTCATAAAAGAAGACAAAACAAAAGCCACACGTGGTTCCATGGATCCTTCTGCAGAAAGGGGTTTAGTAGCTCTTCACCTGATACACAAAAGCATCCACGATCTGTTCCAGTCCTCCTCAGCCCTGTCTCCTGCTATCTAACCCCAAACACACCTCAGAACAGAAAGTGCCTTGCCTCTCTCCTTCTTTGAAATGCCCTTTCTCCACTTCTGCCCATCCTTCAAACGACTGTCCTCAAATTTCCCTTCCTCTGGACAGCCTGCACCCCTTCCTCCCCCGCTCTGGCCAAGCAATTTTAGCTGCTTTGTGTTCTGACTCACACCTCTGTAACAGCATTCCTGGAATCATGATACCTGTTTATGTGTCTCAACTATACCAGGAAGGCAAAGGCTACGGTGATTCATGTGTGTCCCCATTGCTTGGCATAGTGACTAGTTAAGATAGGGATGGACCGCAGGATGGATGGACGAGCGAGTGTCTGGGGAGGAGGTTAGTTAGGGTGGGTATCGTAGAGAAGATGGAAAGTCAGGAATTTCTTAAAGGAACCCTGAGGAAAAAAAAAAAAACGAAAACCTACACCAGGGGGAGCCGAAACACCACTATAAAGCGAGAGGGCGTGCTAAACAAGGCGGCAACCTCTGCGGTGATCGCGCACCCCGAAGCAAGCAAGCATCACGCAACTGGAGCGGCTCACCCACGTGTACCGCATCTCCTTCCCAGACTGTGACTGAGCTCAATCCCACCGCCCCAACCACCCTGTCCTCTCCACCGCCACTGAGAAGGCAAACAAAGGGGAGGGACCCCTGCAGGACTCTGGATCCTGAGAGCCAATCAGAGGACTGTAATCTTCTGGTAGGCGGGCGCCTTGATTTAAAGGCGTCCAATCGACTTCAAAGGGTTTGCGTCGGGGCGGAGAGATGGGCGGGCAGAGCGGGAGTCCGGCCTGCGAGCGCAGGAAGGGCTCCCGGGGGAGACCATGGGCGGAGGCGTGAGGGCGGAGCCAATCACCGCGCGCGTCTGTGAGAAGAGGGCGGGCAGCGCCGCGGCGCGCGCTATCTGGCTGACGCATCTGGCCGCGGTTCCCCGGGACCGCGAGGAGGGGAAGAGGAGAAAGAGCGAGGGCGCGCGTGCGCAGTGGCGCGGGGAGGAGCAGGGACCTGGCAGCGGGCTAGCAGGCTGCGAGCCAGCCGCGAACCGGGCGGGCGCAGGGCGCGCGCACCATGGGGGAGAAACCCGGGACCAGGTAAGGGAGGTGGGGCCACGCAGCGGGGCATGGGCGGTGGCGGCCCACGGCGAGTGACCGAATGGTCACCAGACAAGGACACTGAGGAGAGTATCTGGGGGCCGGACGCCTGGATCCCTAAGGGGCAGCCTTCCGGGGGCCTCAAGCCGAGGTCCTTGAGGATAATGGGAGGTGGGGGCGCGTGCCTGCGCCCTTGCAGAAATTGAGGCCCGAAAGGGATCTGGAAACCGGCGTCGGGGTTCTCGTAGAGATGTAGAAGTCGGACGACTGGGTTCTTACTTGCAGGCTGCGATGCACGGGTGGAGGAAAGAGCAGGTGGCTAGCCCGTGGGGTTGTGTACGGGGAAACTGGATGCTGGGAGCGGATTCCCCTCTAGACTCGTGCCCAACCAATGGAAAGCCTGTCCAATACCCCACAGACAGTCTGGCTGCCCCCACCTGTCCCGAGGGCCAGGTGGTTCTTCTTCCAAACTTCTGCCTTCCCTTTGGGTTGCTAAGAGCAACAGCTTCATCTGAGGAAGTAGAATGCATAGCGACCTTCCCTGATACTGGGCTATATCCCTCCCTTCTGGGGATGGGGGGAGGCACGCATCCACTCCCCGGATGTTTTCTGTGCAATCGAGGCTCCTTCCTTCCACTGACACCCCGAGTTCTCTTTTTTGGTCTCTAGCAAAATCCACTTCCTGTTGTGACCCAACACCCCCAAGGGGGCAGGGGATGAATTCCTTAAGTCCCAGGGAAGAAGGAGCAAACGAAGAGAAGGTTGGGGCTGTATATCTCAACCCAGAAGAAATCAGGAATAGGGATCTGATCCTGAGCCATCACTTGTTCTACAAAACATGGTTTCAGCCCTACAACTCCCCCCACCCTTAGAGTATGAGAACCCAGGTTTCTGAATATCAAGAGAAACAGTACCTGAAAGAGATGATCAGAGGGAAGACTGGCATCCTAGATTATGGTTTAAACACCCCAGAGAAAGGGGAAGTTGCTGACTTGAGAAAGGCCCCCCAATTTCCGTTCTGTGGTCCAGGGAGGGGGACAGATGGACCAAAGAGAGACTGCTGACTTGTTATATTCCCTCCACCCTCATCAAATTCTGGGCCACAGGAAATGGAGAGAATAGCAGGAAGTACAAAGGGGCATCTGCATCATCTGCCCTCCTCCCCCCTCACTGGGCACCACCCTGGTCATTCCCATACTCTGCCTTCTTGGCCAGCCTCAGTATGTGCATGTTGCCAAAGGGCAGGTGCCCTGTGGTTGCCTCAGGGCAATTGACCAAGCCATACTACAATTGGCCAACTGATTGTGGTTGTCACAGCCCTTTGCCAGGGCTCTGAGAGGAGAATACACTGGGACAGAGGAAAGCTAGAAACAGAGGGGAGGGAGAGATTGATGATGCCATGACAATCAGCCCAAACTTGGGTGGTTATTCTAGGTCCCACCATGTCTATATTTAAACTTTATTGGTTGGAGATACCCAGGAGCCTCCATACCCTTTGCCATGTGATGCTTGAATAGCTTGACCTTCAGAAATGAAGGGGCAAATGAAGTCGTTGTAGCAGAAACTGGGGTGATGGAGTTGGACACTTGGCAGTATTTCAGTTTCTGCTATCTGGGGACCCTTTCCAGGAATTGCTGCTGAGGCAGAGTGGATTGGAAGACAGGGGGTAGTCTCCCAGACTGTTCTCTGTTCCTTTCAGAGAATAGGCCCACAGTGGCCAGAGCACTGGGGTCGCTAGACACTTTCCTACCCTCCCAGGAATAGGTGGAGTGCAGGTTTAGATTGTTTCAAATCTTCAACTTGACAAACTGTTGATATCAGTTACAGAGGATAGTGTAACAGGTTAGTAATTAAGAGCAGGGACTTGGAGTCGACAGTCTCAGTTTGTAGCTGATTTCCACCATTTTTGCTCTCTATGACCTTAGACAAAATTCTTTTTTATTGTTGGGGGGGGGCACTGGGATTTGAACTCAGGGCCTCAGGCTTGTAGGCAGGTGCTCTTACCACTTGAGCCACTCTACCACCCCTAGACAAAATTCTTGACTTCTCCATGCCTTATATCATCAACTGTAAAATAGGGAATTAAGGTTATTAAGAGTATTAAATGAGATAACACACTTGAAATACTTGGGACACTGCTAGGCACAAAGTACTCATCCAATAAATGTTATCCAGCATCACCATCTTTGTCATATGGCTGCCGTGTTGGGGCTGCCTAAATTTACAAGGCCACTGAGACTCATAGTCTAAGGAGAAAGACAGATGGTACATAGCTAACTGCCCTTTCTGCTCTCGCATCACAAGTAAAATATAAACAAGGTGTGACTGGGAACCCCAAAAAAGGAGTGACTGGGGTCTTGACTGGGTCTGCACCCTAAAGGAGGAGATATTTGAGCTAAACCTTGAAAGACAAGTAGGCTTTTATAAGCTGCTGTGGACATTGGAGGTTAATGGAATAGAGTCAGATTTGGGTAGTACCTGTGACAGCAACCATTTGAGAGACAAAGGTCAAGGGCATTGCTCTTCCATGTACCTCAGCTGTCATTGGAGCTGAAAGATGATTAGGTCTGACCTAGACACTGTTACAGCTATTACCCCATTCAGGTTCCCTCTGGGAGAGGTCTCCTGGGAAGAACCTGGGTGGTTCCTGGGGCAACCAATAGTCATTACTGTGGAGGGAGGGGGACTAGTTAGGGTGGACCAAGGACAGGAGAAACATTTGCTCTGGCAACTGGCTACAAGGAGCTGCCACGTGAGAATTATGAGGGACCTTCTGGAAAGAACTGGGAGTGAGTAGAGTGGAGGAAACCCCCAAAGCCTCCAACCAGGGATCTGGAGTAAGCTCTGCTTTGTCAGCCTGGGGAGGGGTAAGGTCCCAGTATGAGGGTCCCTGCTGAGTCTGAGGGAGGCAGTGGGCTCTCCCTTTCTGTTTTGTTAGGGTCTTCAAGAAGTCGAGCCCTAACTGCAAGGTGAGTCACCCACAGTGCTTGTCTCTTTGATCCTCCATGGGCCCTACCAAAGCCCAGCCTGCCCCTAGACAATCCCCAACCTCTAGCTCCCCACTTCCTGTGACAGCTAAAAACCAACTTCCTTCCCTCCTGAAGCCCCTTGCTGCAGAGGCTGCTTAGCCTGAGCCAGCCACAGGGTGGGGACAGGGCTGGGTCCCTAAGCAAGACCAAAGTAAGAAGATAGAAGCCCTCTGCCTATAAACTCTCTTAGGAGCCACTCCAGGGAGCTTGGAGCTGGGAAAAGTTAATAGTCCCCCAGGCTATGGCCTGTTTATTCCAGAACCCCTTTGAGAAGACCTAGTGAGGCTGGCAGCCAATCTGGCTGATGATGCCCCTTCCCCCCACCCCCAGCCCTCATAGGCTGAGGTGTGAAAAGTGATTATCCCTTATTGAAAAAGCCTAAAGCTTGGTTGATGGTCTGGGAAACCCCACCACCCTCACCTTCCAACGCTACTGGGAGAAACTCCTTCCTGACAGCCCAGCCTGGGGCAGGACCGCCACCTTTGAGGGCTCTGATGCCTTGTTACCATCCTCCCCAATCTTCCCTGTGACCCCTTGACATCCTCAGCTCACCGTGTACTTGGGCAAGCGGGACTTTGTAGATCACCTGGACAAAGTGGATCCTGTAGGTAAGTTTGCCCAGAAAGGGACAGCTCATCCCCCAAGAGGGGTGGAAGTTCCTAGGCCCAGGAATAGGGGAAATGAACCCCGCTTTCTCCTTCAGGAAATGAGCCCATATGTCCCTTTCCTAGATGGTGTGGTACTCGTGGATCCTGACTACTTGAAGGACCGCAAAGGTACTGGCACTTAGTCCAGGGGCTTGAGGGGAGGCAGGGAGAGGGAAAAGTGAGGTGGGCTGACATTGGTAGGTGTCCCAGGGAGGTGGAGGGCTGAAGCAGAAGCTGGGAGTAGGATTCAGGGGTAGCTATGCTGCTGAGGGAGGAGCTGGGCTGCCAGGTACTGCGGGGACCAGGGAAGGGAGTACTCTTGACCACTCCACCTTGCCCTTCCTTGCCAGTGTTTGTGACTCTCACCTGCGCCTTCCGCTATGGCCGCGAAGACCTGGATGTGCTGGGCTTGTCCTTCCGCAAAGACCTGTTCATCGCCACCTACCAGGCCTTCCCCCCAATGCCCAACCCACCCCGGCCCCCCACCCGCCTGCAGGACCGGCTGTTGAGGAAGCTGGGCCAGCATGCCCACCCCTTTTTTTTTACAGTGAGGATATTCCCCATACTCTGTAGGGCATGGGGTCTGGGTCTGTGTTGAGTTAAAGAGGGGTGGGAGGCATCTGTTATGGACAGACTTGGGAGAAAGTGAGGCAAGATTCTTAGATTCACCTCTCTTTAAGGTCACCTTTCATTCGGGAAGCCCTAGTCTCAGCCTTCTCTCTGGGGCCCCTCCCCCCTTTCTCATCCCCAGATACCTTTCTCCAGCCTCTTAAATTGAGATTGGGAGGAAGATTTGGGTCTTTCTGGAGGGACTGAAACCTCTACTTTCCTGTGCTACAGATACCCCAGAATCTGCCCTGTTCTGTCACACTGCAGCCAGGACCAGAGGACACAGGGAAGGTATGGGAAGAAGAACTCTAAGGGTACATGAGCAGAACAGGGTTCAGAAGGTACCTGAAACACACCTGAGCTGGAGGGTGACTTGCAGGAGTGGACTAAAGACAGGGAGATGGCCCCCATGGACATGGTCACTGCACATGTAATAACACAGCCCTGTTAACTCTTTTGACCTGCACTTGGGTGTGGGGGTCCCCCATACACTGCCATGAGCAAGCCTCCGCCAGACTGCAGAGAGGCAGAGGGAGAAAACAGTCCCTACACTCCTTACACCATGATGGGGCAAGAGTCCCTGCCCAAGCACAGGGAAGCAGGGAGGAAGGAAGGGGAGTAGCAGAGATGGTAGCAGAAGCCTTGGTAAGATGTAGCCTTGGGTAAGATGTGGCCTTTCCTCCCCCTTCTGAGGCCTGCGGGGTAGACTTTGAGATTCGAGCCTTCTGTGCCAAATCACTAGAAGAGAAAAGCCACAAAAGGTGAGAGAAGCAACCTCCTCAATGTTTAACCATTCTCTCCCCATTTCCTGGAGCCCCAGGCCCCTGTGGGGGTGGGAGTGGGGTCACAGTGTCTGGGAACTGACCTCTCCACCTATAACCCTTTCCCTAGGAATTCTGTGCGACTGGTGATCCGAAAGGTGCAGTTTGCCCCAGAGAAACCTGGCCCCCAGCCTTCAGCTGAAACCACACGCCACTTCCTCATGTCTGACCGGTCCCTGCACCTTGAGGCTTCCCTGGACAAGGAGGTGGGGTATGAGTGAGTGATGCAGGTGCCACAAGGCAGACCAGACCCTGAGGGGGAGGGGTGAAGCCACAGGCAAGATGGCAGTTGCCTTGCTGGGTGTGGACCTGCTATGGGGCTTGGGCTGGAGGGACAAAGCAATGTGTCTTATCGGGGAGCATACCAAGAATGGGACCAGTGAAAAACAGGTGCAATTCATGCGACACCCCCCCCTCCCTTCAAAAGCTGTACTACCACGGGGAGCCCCTCAATGTCAATGTCCACGTCACCAACAACTCCACCAAGACCGTCAAGAAGATCAAAGTCTCTGGTAGGAGATGGGGGTGGAAGGGACCTTGGGGGAGGGACCTATGCATAAGTGGCTTCTGCTCTGATCTCAAATCAGGCCATAAACCCAATGCGGGCAACCCACCAGTCACATTTAGTGTTCCAGAATGGTATTTGAGCTCGAGTGTTTACAGTGGGGCAGGCCATGTGTCAGGACGTAGGAGGTAGGGGTGTGCTGGCCCCTGGGCTCATGCCACATGGCCTGGATTGTAGTGCAGTGGTGGTCTGTGCTCCACCCAGAGCTGCTCGATCCCCTTTCCTGCAGTGAGACAGTATGCCGACATCTGCCTCTTCAGCACCGCACAGTACAAGTGTCCTGTAGCTCAGCTTGAACAAGAGTGAGTATTCCTATCCTTGGGACAGGTGTAGGTCCCAAGCTTAGCAGAGAATATGAGGTAGTGGGTCGAGTTCTTCCTGAACCATTTCACTTAAAAGGGTGTTCCCTCTATACCCAGGTGGCTCCGAGTTACTAGTTTCTGAATAGGTTGAGGCAAAACCTAGCCCCTTGTCATTTGTGCCCAAAGGGACAGTGGGAGAGACAATACTGCTTGGAAGTGGTAGGCTGCACCTCACCCAACCCAGTCCCTCCAAGAATCTTGTCCCCACCCATCTCCCCACCCCTAGTGACCAGGTATCTGCCAGTTCCACATTCTGTAAGGTGTACACCATAACCCCGCTGCTCAGTGACAACCGGGAGAAACGTGGCCTTGCCCTGGATGGGAAGCTCAAGCATGAGGACACCAACCTGGCTTCTAGCACCATGTAAGGGCGGGCTGGGAGCTGCAACGGAAACAGACTTCTGTTCAGTGCCGGCTGTGTGCCAGGCTCTGTCCTAGGTGCCAGGGATCAGGGAACAGAAGAGACAAAAAAACTCCTACATTCTAGAGGAGAAAGGAAAGACAATCAGATAAATGGTAAAATATGTAGCATGTTGAGGGACATAGGAGGTGGATATGTTGACTTTAAACCAGGGTGTCAGGGAAGGTAAATGTTGAGCAGGACCTGGAGGAAGGCAGTGATAAAGATGTGCAGGGTAACACAGACACAGAAACGGACAGGCCTGGTGTGTCCAAGGATCTGCAAGGGGCCACTGTGCCCTTGGGCAGGAGTAGCCCCAGAGGTCTAGAGCTTCACAGAGGGCTAGATTTTACCCTAGCTGGCACCTTTGCACTGGATACACTGCGTAACTACACAGCAGGCCTGGAGGTGAGGGGAGTGCACATCAGATCAGGGTTGTCAGGTCAGAAGGAATCAGCTGTCGCCACTAGAGATGAAACCCCAGGAGGTTTTGAGCAAGGGAACACCGTAGTCACCAGGACTGAACTCCTAGTGCTGCTAGAGCTCCAGGAGCTAGTTTGTAGTCCTCAGAATTTCTTATGGGAGCCCTAGGGGTGGCCTGGGTAACAGGACAATGGGCCCTGACCCGGCTCCCCCTGCCCCCAATTGCAGTGTGAAGGAGGGTGCCAACAAGGAAGTGCTCGGAATCCTGGTGTCCTATAGGGTCAAGGTGAAGCTGGTAGTGTCTCGACGTGGGTAAGTGTGGGGAGCCAGTGAGGGTCACAGTGGTTCTCTCTGGCTCCACATGATTACTGTCCTCTTTACACAGTCTCTTTCCCTCCCCAGGGATGTCTCAGTGGAGCTGCCTTTTGTTCTTATGCACCCCAAGCCCCATGATCACATCACCCTCCCCAGACCCCAATCAGGTGAGCATTCTGCCACCCCAAACTCCTACAGGGAGGGCCTGAAGCAGGACCAGTGGAGAAATGCTGGTTCTTCTAGCATCCATCCACCCACCCCCTTTCCTCCCCTCAGCCGCTCGGGAAACAAACGTCCCTGTGGATACTAATCTCATAGAATTCGATACCAAGTAAGAAAGCATCCCCTACCTCTCTATTTTGACCCCCTTTGGACAAAGATTCCAATAACATCCAAATCCACCCTCGTACCTCCTGGGGTTTTGTCTTTGATGGAGGGAAGTGATTGAAATATCTAATCAGATGACTCCTTGTGAGGCTACCTGCCCTTTAACTCTACTTAGAAGCCCCTCTGGTTCCATTACTGCTCCAACTCCTCTGTCCCTGGGAGGGGGCCGGGGCAGAGTGGGAGGCAAAAAGCAGAGTGAAAAGCCTTCACTTCATCCCCCTTCTTTTCAACACTAAGCTACGCCACAGACGACGACATTGTGTTTGAGGACTTTGCCCGGCTTCGGCTGAAGGGGATTAAGGATGACGACTATGATGACCAGTTCTGCTAGGAAGGGGGGCTAGAAGAAGGGAGTGGATGGTGCTGGAGAGGTAGGGGCAGGACCATGACCTCACTAGCAACAGGGATGCGGGGGGGTCCCAGCCTCTCCTCCTTCCTCTCCCATCTGGCAGCTTCCTTAACCAACCCCTTCACTCCCTTTCCCCCATCCCTCCAAGATACACACTGGACTCATCACTTGTTGAAAATGGGCATTAATCTTTTGACTACAGCTCTGCTTCCCCAGCCTCCCCCCACTCAACCAGGGTGGCAAGCTGTGTTCACACCTACATTTTTTGGAGGGGAACACTGAAAACAATGAGTGACAGCAGGGAAAGGGGGAGAAAGAACTCCCACATTCAGCCTCATGCCAACACACCCCTTCAGTCACTCTCTGTGCCTCCCATTCCTCAACATGAGATGCTGTGAGAGCAAGGCCATTTCTTTGTTTCTGAGCATAAAGAAGAAAATAAACCTTTTAGTAGGTATGAGTGTGTGTGTTTTCTCCATAGAGTTTAAAAAGCATGTAGCATGCTTATCCAAGATGATTTTCTGCACCCGCAGGGCACCTGACACAGGCTATCAATAAATGTTTATTGAATGACTGTGCTGTGCCTGTGTTCCAAGGTAAACACCGAAACTTGATTTGGCCAGTCCATACTCAAGGGTACAGCTTAGTAAAGTCATAAAGTAAACTTAGTCATTTACAGGACAAATAATAACTTCCCTGCAGACTAGGTGTTCCCTGGAGCTAGGCAGGGCAGGCTCTTCCCTGTTGCAGCTGACACATGACCCCTTCTTGTGACCAAGCTGGGTTCATTTCCCTTGCTCCTTCTGGTTGCCCAAGCAATCCACTCTGGGGGTTCAGTGGAACCACATTTGCACGCCTCACCAGACAATTGCCACACAAGCAACATCTTGTGGCGTCAGTACTTCCTTTCTAACCCAGAAGCTGAGGCTATAGGCAGCTGAGAGTCGTGCTGCTGTGGGCCCAAGTCTTAGGAGTTACATCCTAGTGCTGCTCCTATGACATGTATCAGGGACTCCCTAGGGCTGACCAAAACCACCCTAGGCAGGTGGAAGTTACCAAAAGTCCACAGACATTTCTTCCTTCTATCACCCATCATCATTCCTTTGCCCTCTGTCACTCCTTCAGGTGATCTTTTTTATAATTAGAAATTAATTGTACAAACAGGTTTATATGAATATATTTCCATATATTCATATAATATACTCACCTCCTCTATTACTCTTTCTTAACCCTGCCCTCCCACCTTGCTAACTCTCTTAAGGTCCTTTCATTCTACGTACTATCTTGATTTGAATCCCTGCTGTGTGCCACACATGGTATAGGGACACAACAGTAGACCCAAAACAGACAGTAAGTCATTCCCCAACTAATTACACTGTGTGTACTTCTCCCTAGGAGAAGTACAGGAGCTATAGAATGTATGAGGGTGTCTGACCTAGCCTGAAGCTTAAGGATGGTTTCCCTGGAGGAAGTGACCTTTAAGCACAGAATTGAAAGATGAGTTAGGAACTCATGCAGGTATGAGCATTCTAGACCATGGCAACCCCACATGTGAAGGCTGTCTCAGACTCAAAGAGACCAGGCTTGGTGAGGCACACTGTGGGGACAGCTCACATGGACCCTTATTCTATGCTAAAAGCTCATGACGTAATTAAGTCACAACCTATCCACAGGTTTTAAGTGCTGCCAACATTCCAATGACCTTGCTTACCTTACCCACAGTGCATTGGTCATGTGGAGAAATGTCTGCTTCCCCTCCAGCATCCTCTGACTCCTGACCCTGCTCCTTGACCTGGAAACCCACAGCTCTCAAACTTCAGGTGAATCAGAACCCTCTGGGAGGTAGATAAAGATCCAGAGTTCAGCTCATGACCCCAGAGTCAGGAGTCAGGAGGTCCCAAGAAGAAGCCATGAATCTGGATGTATAATTAACACATTTGGAGAACAATGCCTTTTTTTGTTTTGTTTTGTTTGTTGTTTTTAATGCTTTTTAGAAGGTAATACGTGGCATGGTTTTTTTTTAAATCCAAACAGTAGGAAACAGTAAAGAATGAAAAGGTTAGTTTTGTCCCTGTCTCCCACCCTTCCACTTCTCTTTCCCAGAGACAATCACTATGGCAGTTTCTTGGTTATCATCTTAAAGATACATTCTTTGTATTCAGTTGTACCTGGGCAGGCTTTAGTACTCACTGTCATCGTAAATACAGAGAGCAGCATGTTATGAACTCTTCTACCTACTTTTTTCACACAATATTGTTATCTAGAAGAGCATTCCTGAAGCGGTACACACACACCATCTATTTAAGGAATGGCTTCTATTACCTAGGTGCCATTTATTTTTATTATTTCCTACCTATGGACATGTTAAATGTCCATTACTTTGCTAATTCAAACAGTATTACAATAATTATTCTTGAAGATTTATGTCTTTTTGTACATGTGAAGTGTGCCTGTAACAATTTTATTTAATTTTTTTTTATTTTTAGGAATATTGGGGTTTGACCTCAGGGTCTCAGGCTCTACCACTTGAGCTACACACCCCCAACCTTACATGTTCTTAAAAATAGAATTTCTGTGTCAGAGGGGGAGCATCTGTTTGGTCACTGTAAATCTAGTTAGTGAACTGTATTACCTTAGTTTTAATATGTATTCTCTTGATTATGCATGAGAATAAACCCAATTTAAAAGACTGACGTTCTTTTTACTTTGGGGGAGGGTGGTGCTGGGGACCAAACTCAGGGCCTTGAACATGCTAGGCAATTGCTCTAGCAATGAGCCACACAACCCCTCTATTTTTTTTTTTTTTTTGGTGGGACTGGTGTTTGAACTCAGGGCTTCATGCTTACAAAGTAGGTGCTCTATTTCTTGAGCCACACATTCAGTTCATTTTTTTGCTCTGCTTATTTTGGAGATGGAGTCTTGAGAACTATTTAAGATTACAGATGTGAGCCACCAGCACCTGGCTCTCTTTTCTTTTTTCTTAATGTACTCTAAAGAGTTCTTAATTTATTAAAGAAATTCTCTCAAGATATAGCTCAGTGGTAGTGCTTGCCTAGCATGTACAAGGTCCTGAGTTTGATCCCCAGCACCACAAAAAAAAAAAAAAAGGAAAATGAGCTCCTTTGTAGTAGTAAACTACATAGTGGCATTTGATACAATCACAACATTGTGCAACATCACCTTTATCTAATTTCAAACATTTTTGTTGTTTGTTTTGAGACAGCACCTTGCTATGTAGCCTGGGCTGCCCTCATCTCTTAATCCTCCTGCCTCAGCCTCCTCAGTGCTGGGATTACAGCAAAAAGTTTTGCTTCTAGTACTTTTAATAATGCATGCATTTACTTTAATAATTAATAATCACTTCTTTATATAGCTTCTTAGTTGTTTGGGTCACTGTTTTTGTTTTGTTTTTCAGTGCTGGGGTTTGAACTCAGGACCTATACCTTGAGCCACTCTACCAGCCCTTTTTTGTGATGTTTTTCGAGATAGAGTCTCTGGAACTATTGCCTGGGGCTGGCTTCAAACCATGATCCTCTTGATCTCTGCCTCCTGAGTAGCTAGGATTACAGGTGTGAGCCACCAGTGCCCAGCTACAATTTTTTAATTTTTTTTTTTTTAATGGTACTGAGTTTGAACTCAGGGTTCTATGCCTGCCAGGCAGGCACTCTCTACCACTTGAGCCACATCCCCAGTCCATTTTCTCACAATTTGACCCTTGCTTTTCTTTCCAACTTGGACTTTGAGATATCAACCAATGTCTCATCAGCATATTCAATTTCTCATCCTTTCACAATACATGGTCTCAAGCCTCACCTTTGGATCTGTCCACCTAGCCTCAACCTCTTCGCTCTAACAGGGGGGCTGATGTGTACTGACGGAGAAAGAAACCATATGACAAATGAAACAAATATTTTTAAACACTTCCTAGGTGCCAACATTGTGCTAGGCACCGGGTATGGATTTAGTGCCACTGAAAATTTATAGTCTCTTACCTGAGCTAGACCATCCATCCCTGGTAACCCCTTGTCTCACTCCATGTCTCTGGGGTCCTCCCTCTAATTTTCTGCCTTCCTCATGACTTCTCCCACTCTTTGCAGAGATTAGTTGATGAAAGGTGACTGACTTTAACTTCCTACCTTCTATCAATAAACACTGACATCTATGCCAATTCTCCTACACCACCAGAGTTAAAAAGCTTCTTCAGTCACAGCTAATCCCTTCACCTGTGCTCACATCTCCCTCCCACCTCCTCCAAGACCTTGATTCATCAAACCACCCCCTTCTCTTCAACCTGTCTCTCTCTCCTGGGTGTTCTTCCATAGTAAATAAACCTACACAAATCTCTTTCCTCCATTGAAGGGAGAAAGAGAAAGGAGGAAGGGCAGAAACAAAGGGAAAAAAATCTCTGCACACTCTCACTCCTCTCTCTCTCTCTCTCTCTCTCTCTCTCCCTCTCTCTCTCTTTCTATTTCATACAGGCGTTTGAACTCTGGGCCTTGTGCTTCCTAGGCAAGCGCTCTATCACTTGAGCCACTCCCCAGCCCTCCTCCCTCATTTTCATTTTTAATTTACCTTTTATTTTCAAAGAAACATCTGCACAGTAGTTTAAGGAGTGAGATAAAGGATGAGTATGGCTCAGTGGTAGAGCAGTTGCCTAGCATGCACATAGCTCTGGGTTCCATCCTACCGTGTGGAAAAAATAAAGGAATAACATAAAAACAAAAGAGTCAGTACCATAAGACCCATTACGATAAAAAGCAAGTTCCTGACCCCTTCGATTTCTTTCTCCTCAGAGGCAAGCACTTTCACCTCCTTTATTTTTTTTTTTTTTTTTTTTTTTTTTCATTTTTCTTTTATTATTCATATGTGCATACAAGGCTTGGTTTATTTCTCCCCCCTGCCCCCACCCCCTCCCTTACCACCCACTCCACCCCCTCCCGCTCCCCCCCTCAATACCCAGCAGAAACTATTTTGCCCTTATCTCTAATTTTGTTGTAGAGAGAGTATAAGCAATAATAGGAAGGAACAAGGGGTTTTGCTGGTTGAGATAAGGATAGCTATACAGGGCATTGACTCACATTGATTTCCTGTGCGTGGGTGTTACCTTCTAGGTTAATTCTTTTTAATCTAACCTTTTCTCTAGTTCCTGGTCTCCTTTTCCTATTGGCCTCAGTTGCTTTAAGGTATCTGCTTTAGTTTCTCTGCATTAAGGGCAACAAATGCTAGCTAGTTTTTTAGGTGTCTTACCTATCCTCACCCCTCCCTTGTGTGCTCTCGCTTTTATCATGTGCTCATAGTCCAATCCCCTTGTTGTGTTTGCCCTTGATCTAATGTCCACATATGAGGGAGAACATACGATTTTTGGTCTTTTGGCCAGGCTAACCTCACTCAGAATGATGTTCTCCAATTCCATCCATTTACCAGCGAATGATAACATTTCGTTCTTCTTCATGGCTG